AATATATTGAAGAAACGACTTAAATTTTCTTCAATATAAAGAAGGCATCTGTAGATATACGGAGAGTGTTCTATCATTACATTCAATTGTTTTAAGAGCTCTCTACGCGTGTAGCCCCAATGCTTAGAAGCTATTGTTCTCAATATCTTCTTCTGAATTATAAACACTTCCCTAATGTGAAAGCAGTTCCCCCAGTAAACTACGGAGCAGCTAAGGGCCGAATAGACGCACGAAAAGTGTTACAGCTTGAGAATTTCAACACTCAACAGTTTATTGAGAATGAAGTCAACTTGCTTGTTCCAGTTTAAAAGTTCATAAATACCATCACGCAGTTCCTAAAAAGTGCCAATGGAAAAGTTTTAGATTAGTTTTTTGATATTCTTAAAAGTCAGAAAAAAATAAAAATGGTTTGGGCCAAATTTTAGTTTTTCCCAAATATCTCAGTAGGCCATGAAAATTTTACAAGTTTCTCAAAGTTTTCTAATTTAACCTAAGCTGTATCCTCGTCCGTATCTTCTGTCTATAGAGTTCAAGTAATAGAAGTGTGACTTTAATCAGTCGTATTCCAGATTCTCAGTCCTTTCCTTTAAATCGTATAATGCTCTTGGCCTACATTGGAACGGGGGCAACAATATAACGAGAAGCAAACTTTGCTCAGCTTGTTTACCCAACGTTCATGTATGTACATACATACACACGTATACATGTGCACGTGTATATATATAGACATACAGGTTCGTCTCTGTAATTCATTACCCCGATGTTCAGGAAGGTGTATTAAGCATGTTACTAAACAGTGGATATTGATTCCACGAATCACGTTCACTCTGATTCATGTGCTTAGGAGGAATTTCCAGACTGAAATTGTTCTCGGCTCTTAGTGTCGTTGTTGCGTTTCTGTGCGATCACGACGCTACAGTAGTTGCATCTCTTGATATGTATTTATTGATTTGAACCCTCTAGATAAAGGATAGAATTGGATACAAAAAAGGAACGGTAACAGGAGACACATCTGTGCATTTTATAAGGAAACGATAAGGCAGTTTACGCGATGAAATAGATGGCAAAACACCATCAAGTAGACTGAACCACCACAACCTCTGGGAGAGCGAACTGCATACACTCGCGAAGCCTCGGCAGCATTTTGAAGACGCTCACCACAAATTGAAATCATGTCGTACTTATCTACGCTGCCGGCGCCTGGGTTGAGTACTGACGTAGGTCGTGCCTTCTCACCTTTGATATGGTCGAGATACAGGTTTAGTTAAGGTTCGATTGACTTTGCAACGCCTAATATCTCGGTTATCTTGAGAGTTTTGTGTATCTGCTACTAGGAAAAACGGCTTATTTTCTCAAAATCCATACACTCAGTAAAGTCTGAGCTTTGCTGATACTCTGAATTTAAAACCAGCAGACGCCCACAATTTCACTAGCGTGAGTAAACCCCTTTTTACCGCAGTCAATCAAATTGCACCTTATGTCCTTGCTCGAAGTTCCAAATGGGATATATATGCGTAACTCCAATTTAGCTATCTTACTGATTTGCCATATTACGGTAACTATAAGGAGGAGCGATACGTCTCTTCGTCATATTATCGATATCCACTTTTAGAGATTTCTGGTGGTGCTCCAAATGAGCAATTTCCGATTTCCAGCGACGATATCTACACCATAGTAAAACATAAACCCTTTAGCATTTATAATGTTAGTAAGTATATAACAAGAATGTAAGCATATGTAACAAAAACTGGATGTCCCAACAGCATGGATACAACCAAATGTCTCGAAACCATTAAATACAATAGTTTTAGGAAATCGAATAGCTCATCTGGTGATTACCTTGGATTTGTCGTTCACATTCACTTTGAAGGTCATTTCAAGGGCAATTTGATTTTTTCAAATAAGAACTACTTGTTTATTACAGAAAGAGAATGCCAAAAAAATCTACTTCAGCGATATGAATATAAAAGGAGATTAAATTACACCTAGAATCAATTTCAAGATTAATTGTCGCTGTCTCATGACATGTTGCGTAGCAGCGGATAGAATATTAAAGGAGATTTCTTAATGAGAAAATTTCGGGTCATCCAGCAGCACATCTGATCGAGACCGACCTTGACTAGGATCTTGAAGATCAATCCAAGGTCAAATCGCGTTTTTCACAAGGAATCCCTCAACTTTGATCCAAGGGCTGAAAGTGAAGAAAAATCTATGTTGAATTTGACCTTACCGTGACCTTCAAAGCATTGCCAAGGTCAGAATGAACGTCACCATCAGATGTGTCAATGAATGTCCTGCAATCACCACAAATTTTTCTCTAATATTCTTTCATTTTTCAGCTATCCGCTGCTTCACAACATTCCATGGAAGAACAACAGTTGACCTTGAAATAACCTATAGATATAATTTTAGCCCCTGTGATATTTTTAGCATTGCAAGGATTTTTTTTGCTTTCTACTCCTGCAACTTACCCGTCAGGGTCAAATCCAAGGTCACAACTAGATGTGCCATTTGATGACCTAAAACTCTCATATTCAGAGTTTTTTCTAGGACCCTTAGTTTCCGAAGCATTTGGGTGTGTCCATACTTTTGGGTCACGCTGTGTACGTATGCATACAAGAATTGATATTTTATCATATGACACTCTTTATATTTCTACATGGAGTACCAACGTGTACAAAATTGTAGTCCGTGGCGAAAACTCCTTCCCTGGTCAGCAATTAATTCCAAGCTGCAGCTTATATTAAGGTTAATCTGTGCAAGGTCAGAATGAAGGTCACCATCAGATGTACCAGTAAATGTCCTGAAATCACCACAAGTTTTTCTCTAATATTCTTTCATTTTTCAGCTATCCGCTGCTTCACAACATTCCATGGAAGAACAGCAGTTGACCTTGAAATAACCTCTAGATACAATTTTAGCCCCTGTGATATTTTTAGCATTGCAAGGATTTTTTTTGCTTTCTACTCCTGCAATAAAAAATGGGGTTTCCGTGTGAAAAATCAACTTACCCTTCAGGGTCAAATCCAAGGTCACAGCTAGATGTGCCATTTAATGACCTAAAACTCTCGTATTTAGAGTTTTTTTCTAGGACCCTTAGTATCCGAAGCATTTGGGTGTGTCCATACTTTTGGGTCACGCTGTATACGTATGCATACAAGAATTGACATTTTATTATAAGACACTCTTTATATTTCTACATGGAGTACCAACGGGTACAAAATTTAGTCCGGGACGAAAAATCCTTCCCTGGGCAGCAATTAATTCCAAGCTGCAGCTTATATTAAGGTTAATCTGTGCAGTCGCAGTTATTCCTCACAAAATGGAACACAACGCTTTCGTATAAACTCCCCGATAGCGAAGCAACTTTCAACCGACAAAAAAAAAGTCAGCGCTCGGGGAAAAGGCGCTCTCACAGAATCCATTATGGCATGTCGGGAACTTTCAGCGAATTTCCGAAAACAGGTCGCAACCCTTTATTAAAGATTAAAATTTCATAAAGTGGAAAATGAAATGCGAGCGACAAAGCATTAACACATCAGAGGAGACGTCAGAAAAACACTTGCCGGCGGTTTGGGGGATTAGACTCGATCGAAACTTCCCTGGCCGGAACTGCTTTTTTGATGCGGTGTTCCATGATGCAACACATAATAAAAGGACTTTGCGTTTTCTTTTTCTTTTTTTGGCGTAAATTTATATAACCTTCTGATGTGCCATCGTAAAGTGCGAACTGAATTTTATTGAAACCTATTGTTGGTTTTCTCGACACATGTCACTATTGGTTGAATTTCAGTCAATTTGTTCTCACATACGTGCTCGACAAAGTTGTCAGCAGTGAGCCTCTCGCCGAGCGCCACTACCAGTTTTCTCTGGTAGTCAATCCATCTATTGACACTTTTTTTTGTCTGACAAATAATGACAGCAGCGGTTGACCCCACATACATACGACGCCTATATTCCACTATCAGTCCGATTACATTCCCCTTTTGGTCCACCGCATGTACATCGATCGGTTCAGTTAATAATAATAATAAAATGTCTTTATTATGCACATTATAAAAACTACAATATAATGTGACCTCTACGTAGGCGAAGTCTAGCTCTTGGCTACTCTCTTAACCTGCCCAAATAATTAATTGAAACATCACTTAATCAAACGAAACTTTGACAAGCAGCTAAAAACGCCTCAAAACAAACGAACTTGATAGCTGGCTGACATACATACACATATACAGATATATATATATATATATATATATATATATAGGTGAAAAAATAAAGCTTCCGCCTTTTGTTGGGTACTTCGACAAAATTTAAGCAAAGAGGACTCTTTATACTTTTTTTAATTCTCTCTAGCTTTCAATGGACTTTGCCATCATCATCAGGAGCTGCAATTACAATGATAATAGTAGCAACAATAGTGTAAAATGAATTTAAATTGACTTAACTTACAGTAGTATGTGAGGATGTTGCTAATTGTTGTTTACGTATAGGATGAGGGAAACGCCCAGTAACATGGTGAAAGCTGGATAGATGGTACAATGGTCAAAATTATATAAAATATACACAATGATGAGTAAATGACACTCAGTTGCTTAACATCTGTCTTTTTGTTGATACACTTGTTATTCATGAAAATGTGGGACATTTCCAGGAATAAACGTACAACAGAGGCCCTAAAACTGAACCCTGAGGGACACCTGAGGTTATATCAATCGGACTGGATATAGTATTGTCTATCTCTACTACTTGTTCACGATTTCAAAGATATGTTATAAAAAACATTATAGGTATGTCTGAAAAAACAAGAAACAATTTAGCACATAAAAGCTCATGATCTATTTTATCGAACGCTTTAGAATAATCTAATGTTACAAGTGCTACAAGTTCCCCCCGCTATGCACTTTAGTCCCATCTAATAGTGTATTTCTTGGTAATATGAACTTCCATATTTGTATTTTAAAGGATAAGAGCCTTTTGGTATCCAATAAAATACAAGGTTGATATAGAGATTTATTTTCTTTTGTGGGTGTTGACGTTTTCTTGACAGTGTTTCTGTTGTTAACAATAATTACTTAAAGATAGAAGTTTTTTGATGACAAATTTCAAGAGACCAACATAACTGTAGTTTCTCTATTGTCGTTTCGTTCTTTATCTTGTCGTACGGTTCGCAGTTACTTGTGCTTTCTGAAATGAAGAATCAAATTTAAATTCGCTTGTTTTCTTGTCTTATGAACTTGTCACAGCTACTTAGATGTAACGCAGTGTTATCATATCTACCGATTCAAATCATAATCTACCGATTTTAATGAAAATCTACCGAAAATCAAGAATTTCGTTTTTCTCTTTCCAAAACGTAATTTTTCGTACAATTCATAAACGAAAGTTGTCAAAAATCTTCCCAGCCGCGATGGACTTACTTGGAGGGAGAGTGCAAAAAGTGGTTTCCACGTTTGAATAAATGTCCAGAGAAAATGACAACTACGGAGATAAATAGCTATATTCCTTGTGCCTGAAAAAAATGTGGGAACCCTATTTTTCAAACAATTCTCGTATTTCTGTTTCGAAATACCTCGATTAACGACAAAAATACTACTTTTTAGCGCATATCGTAAATACTTCATTGCTTACTTTAAAATGAAAGATTAGGATGTAACTTGGACGAAAATATCATTTTTTCTTTAAGGAACCCTCTGCTTGCTATTTGATAGAACCTCAAAGTTGCATCTTTGGTGGAAATACTCTAGAATGGAATACTGTTTTATACGCCTTTTTTGCTTTTCGCATCAAATGATGCTCTAAATTACAAAAATATAACATACACTGTATAGTACTAAGGAAAATAGATGTGAAACTGTTGTTTTTTGCAAAAAAAGGTCCAAAATCAGCCGTGTTATTAAACATTATCTTATTAACTAAAATAACAGTTAAAAATACATACGTATGATGGTATTTACTTGGTAAACTGTGTAGAGATGTTGTCTTGTGATTTTTCAAAGTCCTCTTGAAATTCCTTAACCATTTTTTTTCGCGTATTTTCAATGAGATCAAAGTTTTTGCGTTTATAAGAAATATTTGAAAGTACAAAAAATTCTGAATGGCCATTTTGTAACGTTCATTTCCTGACAGATAAGATAAATGATGTCCATTGTTGCCAAGGTGTACCTTTTTTTGGGAGAAATACGTGATAAAAAATGAGGTTATTTGCAAAATAAAAGTCGCAATTTATTGTAAATGGCTTGTTTTATGAGAAGTTGACCCAGTATTTACCGAAAACTAAAATTTTGAACAGTATGTGTTTAAACAGTGGAAAATGCACCACCGGCTTGCGTGACAGAAAATACAAAAGGCACCAGCGGTCATTACATATAAAAAAACCAACTTCAATTCGTCGATTTGGACCACCCAACATATCATCGTCCAACATTATAGTTAAATGAAGATCAACGATCATTTCATCAAATCATCAAAAAACTTGCTATGTTCTTTGTTAGGTTTTCTTTATTTAGTGATTGGCAACAGCTACTTTTTCATTTCTCATACTCAAGAATAGAATAGAATAGCTGTGCCAAACTCCGCCAATAAAACCCTTTATTTATCATTATATATATATATATATATATATATATATATATATATATATATATATATATATATATATCATATTTAATTAGGTATATTTTGTGACATCGGCGACTTTTTCTTTTACAGTTCCCTAGTAAAAGAATCTGAAGGATTCAAATCAGGTGATCGGGCTGGCCACGGTATTGTACCAGACCGCCTTATCCATCTGCCTGGAAAGTTTTGATCGAGATACTCTCTCACTGAGAGTGCATAGTGCGCTGGGCAGCCATCATGCTGAAACCACATGTCCCTGTAAATACTCAGTGGCATGTCCACCAATAAATTTTGTACATGATTTTTCAAAAAATCCAAATAAACTTCAGCAGTCAAATTCTCTGGGAACTCAAACGGACCGATTATTTTACCATTTAAAATTCCTGTCCAATGGTTTATCTTGAAGCGATATTGAGAATTTATCTTCTCTCATCAAATGTGGGTTTGCTACGTGCCACTCGTGTAAGTTATGCAGGTTCATGTACCCATCTTTCTTAAATGTGGTCTCATCCGACCATAAATTTTTTTCAAAGAACTGTGGATCTTTCCTGTGTCTTTCTAACATTGTGCGACAAAAAGCAACTCGGGGCTCATAATCCCGGGGCATGAGAGGTTGAACACGCTGTATGTGGTATGGATGAAGCACATCACTTACTTGCTATTGCACACTTTGATACCGATCAGTACTCCTTCGTTTACTGCGCATCTTTACATGTTCGTGCTTGTTGATTTCGTACTGTTACTAATTTTGGATTCGTGAACTGGACTGTTGATCGCTTGTGATTTGGATTTGGACTGTTTAACTGCTCTTCAAAACAACATTTGCTTTCCTTAGACTATCTTTGATAGTGTGATTGTGCAGTGCCGTTATGTCCGTGTACACCGTACAAGAATATGCTAACATGCACCTCATTTATGGGGAATGCAGATGCAACGCTAGTGCTGCAGCGAGACTTTACTGTGAGAGGTACCCGAATGCAGCTCGTCATCGAGATCATCGAGTGTTCACAAATGTGCACCGCTTACTGTTCTCAGAGGGCCAACTACCAAACCAATCACACGGTGAGATCTTTCCTTCCTTACGAAGACGTGGTGCTAGGAGCTGTCGAAGAAGACCCGAGTACTTCAGTGCGTGCAATAGAACTAAAAACAGGTGTGCCCAAAAGTACAGCCCATAGAATCTTGCAAAAAACGTGCTCCATCCATACCACGTACAGCGTGTTCAAGCTCTTCTGCCCCGGGATTATGAGCTCCGAGTTGCTTTTTGTCGCACAATGTTAGAAAGACACAGGAAAGATCCACAGTTCTTTGAAAAAATTTTATGGTCGGATGAGACCACATTTAAGAAAGATGGGTACATGAACCTGCATAACTTACACGAGTGACACGTAGCAAACCCACATTTGATGAGAGAAGATAAATCTCAATATCGCTTCAAGATAAACCATTGGAGAGGAATTTTAAATGGTAAAATAATCGGTCCGTTTGAGTTCCCAGAGACTTTGACTGCTGAAGTTTATTTGGATTTTTTGAAAAATCATGTACAAAATTTATTGGTGGACGTGCCACTGAGTATTTATAGGGAGATGTGGTTTCAGCATGATGGCTGCCCAGCGCACTATGCACTCTCAGTGAGAGAGTATCTCGATCAAAACTTTCCAGGCAGATGGATAGGGCGGTCTGGTACAATACCGTGGCCAGCCCGATCACCTGATTTGAATCCTTCAGATTTTTTTACTGGGAAACTGTAAAAGAAAAAGTGTATTTCAAACCGATTCAAAATGTAGCTGAGCTACGGCAAACACTGTTGGAAGCAGCTGAGTTTGTTAATAACCGTGGATTCGCTCGTTTAATAACCCGATCTGTTTTAAGAAGATATCGAGCGTGTATTGCGGCTGAAGGAAAACAGTTTGAGCATTTGCTGTAAAGGTAAATCATCATCAGCAGCATTTTGATGCCCACTGTTGTGCAAACAGTTATCCTTAAGGGTCCTTCATCAGTTTTTTTTCAAATAAAAATTGTGCATAAGCTAACGAGTAATCTTCTAAGTGTTGTACCATTTTGGAATCCTTATTAAATGCGCCAACTTTTAAGGTTATTTGGCAAACTCTCGTAGTACATTTTTTTCCAGTACAGCCAGTTAAAGTTGAGCAAAGTTTTACTTTGGAATACTTGGTTGGGAAATAAGTGGCAATTTTTCCTGAACGAGAAAAGTTGGCAGTAAGGTTGAGACACCAGTTTGAAGATGCATTATTCATCATTACATTGTAAAAAAGAAATCCAAAAAAAGTTGACATTTGCAGTAACAGGAGTTGACAGACTGCCGTAGGGTGTGAAATTTCTATATTTTTTCAAAGACCTATAATTTTCAAAACACCTACATTTTTTTAAATATTTTTCTGAAAGCTGTTGACTTCGTCTATCACCCGGTTTCGGCTTGACGTCGACTTCTGGGACACCCTGTATAAGTAAGAATTTGACAAACCAAATTACGGTATATAACTATCCACCTTTTGGCAACATCGCAGAGAGTAGGATAGTGATGGTGGTGGATGGTGGAGTAATGATGGGAATATTTATCTAAAATAAAAGTAATTACTACTTAACAATGAACATTAATATAATGCAAAATTGCATTATTGCGATGAACAGTGTCACAGTAATTTACATTGTATGTTATATTCATATAATGTTGAGCAATATTTTGTGTAAACAAAAAAAACAGCTCATAAAGCAGTATTCTATACCACAGTATTACCACACAAAATGCAACTTTGAAGTACTATAAAATAGCAAGCAGCGAATTCCTTGAAGAAAAAATGATATTTTCGTGCAAGTTACATCATAATCTTTCATTTTAAAATAAGAAATGTAATATTTGCGATATGCGTTACAGTATAGTTCAGCCCTTTTTACTTTTACTACTTATTTCCATACTCTTAAAAATGCCCGGACTACCGAAATGATATTGTAAACTTTATTAAAACTGTTGTAAGCAATAGACTAAATATCGCACTACCAGTCCAGTCCTACTTTATTCAAAAATCATATCGCTATAGCGCTGGTAGAGAGCAACACAATTTTGTTAACTAAGGACTAATTTCCTATATTAGGTCTTCAAAACGAGAGGCAAAAGTTTGTATACAACAAAAAATCATGTGCTATGAATTTTGTAGTTTATTGCTTATATTCTATATTATTGACTTTTAATTAATCAGAAGTGGGATTGGGACCGTTGGTTCCTCTATTGTATCTTTGTTTTGATACAGTTTAAATTAGTTTATAAGTGATTTATCTGAATAGCATATTCCCTATGCGTACTCCACTTACCAAAAAATTTCACAAGTCTGCCTAAATATTTCGCGCAATTCAACCTAAACTATTCTGCTCCTGGCCAACAGCAGTCTAACCACACTAGCACATAAAATATACTCAAACAACTATGCTTAAGAATTGCTTTTTTGCTTTCCTATTCACCGCATCTCATCAACTGTCTACTTCTTTGTAATCCATAACGAGCGCTGCCAGGTCCTCCTTAGCGTCTTGAAACTCTCCTTCCTCCATTCCCTCTCCAACGTAATGATGGACGAAGGATCGTTTAGAGTACAACAGGTTGTACTTCTTCAAGATCCGTTCCCAAGCTTCGCGTATGGCGGTACTGTTGGACAGCATGGTTACGGCTCGTGTGGTGCGCGCCAAGTCGCCTCCCGGTACTGTAGTTGGTGGTTGGTAGTTTATACCCACCTACAAAGCGCAAGGTACTTTGATGAGCACCAAGTCAGAATGGTCTACTACTATTCGTCAATTCTCTGCCTGGGCGGTTCGTAGGACTTTTGCCCTTAGTCACTGTCTAATATACGTTGGTTGAATCTGGTTGCCCAGAACCCGAGAATGTCAACAGAAAAGATAGAGAAAAAGAAAATAAAACTGTATCAGTTTCAGAGGAAACACCTAGGCTTTTTGACTTGGTGCACGAATTAATTCTGAGGTGTACTAAAACAAAGTTTGCGCTAAATTTTTATTACTACGAGTCGTGGCCTTGAATGTTTACGAACTTCCTCCACAGTTTAGTTCACTAAGCTATGCAGTAGAGAACTGCTGTGCGATTCTGTTTGACTATAATCACGCTGCGCCTGGATCTTGACATAATTTTCAAATGACTAAAATGTACCAAAATGGATGTACTAAGCTTTCAGGATTATAGTCAAAGAGCTCTCTTCACATCCTCTTGGAAAAATATTCTGATTCGTTTTTTCTGCGTAGTGTTGTTCGAAAAGACCAGAAATTGTCTAAAATTCCGTAAATTTGTGTTTTCCCTGCAAGCTTAGTTTTTTATTGGGTCATTCTAAATAAAACACGTCCTCGTAAGTTTTCTCTGAAGTTCATAATTTTCAAATATTTGAAAGAGATTTGAAAAAGCTTGAAATACGTCATCTTCGTCACCAAAAAACCAAAATATGAACAAAAGGAAATTTTGATGTAGCCCAATGATGGGCCCATTGTGTACCTCGTGTAGAATACCCCACTGTACTTCCATATACAATTGTGATTGTGTACGTCTTTATATTTATGTCGACAATGTACTCGCATACAATTTCATATACAGGGTGGCGCATCGAAAACGAAACAGACGCATCTACTGGCAGCTCAGTTTTTTTTTGAAAAACGTTCCGACCCGTCGATTTTGTTTTCGAGCGGGACACAAGTTTGGCAACAAATCACGTTAGCACGTGCAGCCCCCTAAGCGGGGTTGACACCACCCGCACAATCTTAAATGGAAAGGGGGACGAGTGATACCTTATTTTAAAGGTCTTTATATTGATATAAAATTAATGTACTTCAGTTCAGTAGAAAAATATTTCGATAACTTCAACTCTTTCTGCTGTGGAATATACCATGGTTAATTTATGTAATAAAGCGTTACAAGTTATTTTAGCAACAAAGTTTGGTCAATTCAATCGCAAACTATGTACTAAATTCCGATTTAAAATAAGTACGAGATATTTTCTTATCTTTCTTCAAGAAATAACTTTTTGCCACAAAAAAAAACGCTCCAATAGCTATTTTCAACAACAAAATGATAAACAAACCATGGGCGTAGTGAAGAAAGGCATTTACTTCTTAAGTAAATTCTTTTAGTCGAATTTCTTTTGAAAGTAGCACAAACTAATCTGATGTAGCTATTAAAGTCTACTTTACGCTTTAAATCAATAAACCTTCAAAACTACTGAACTGAAGTACATTAATTTTATATCCCTTTAAAATAAAGTATCACTCGACCCCCCTTTCCATTTAACATTTTAGGGTTGGTGTCACCCCGCTCAGTAGGCTGCACGTGTTAACGTGATTTTTTGAAAAACTTGTGTCGCCCTCGAAAACAAAATCGACGGGTCTGAGCGTTTTTCCAAACAAAAACTGACTTGCCAGTAAATGCATCTGTTTCGTTTTCGATGCGCCACCCTGTATATGCAATGCCTATATAAGTGATTCCTGAATAATTAGAAAACGTATGGATATAGATATTTATTATTTAGGCATATATACAAACTTATAGTTTTAAATGAATTAGGAACATGAAGGTCAAAGCCAAAGTCAAGATTCTTCCGAAGAGAAAGCTGACTTCAAAGCCAAATCGGATAGTAACAGCATGACTAAATCTAGATCATATTACCTTAAAACCTGTTGGACACCAATCAACAAATCCAATACTTCTTTTGCTCTTGATACTTGTGATAGCATTGTTCACATCAGTGGGAGCGACATCACCACGGTACAAGAGACAGCAGGACATATATTTACCTAAAATCATTTTAAAAATTATGAAATAACAACTATCAATTCTTCTGATGTGATGCATAGACGTTTCTTGAGGCGTTGTTATTGTTGCTTCGTAAATTGGGCGTAATAGAAGAACTGTCAGATACCGAAGAAGGTGGCGTTTTGGTGAATTCCTGAACATCTGCGTATAACAAGGATACTATTTACAATAAGGATTAGAAAAATGGAACAATATCTACATAGTAGAGTAATTTTTGTATTGTAGATTAGTAATGTGAAAAGAAAATCTCGTCAATTACATCATGTTTGTGTTTGTATTCAATAGCCACTCATGTAACTCTATCTTTTAATAAACGTATTTTTTTTCTGAATACGTTGATATGTTATGATATAGTTTTAGATCTATACTAAGTGACATATAAATCCGAACACCCAGTTTAAATGGTTTTATTTTAATAAAATTTTGTATAAGTACTTAATGAAGCATAATAAGTAAATGATAAAAATTTCAAAATGATTGCACTGCTTTAAAGCCCTTTGACCTTTAATAATGTGTGGATGCACCCTGATGTGCTACGCATTCTCCAACGCGCCTAGGCATGCTTCTGATCAGGTGGTCAATGTCCTCCTGTGGTATCTCATTCCAGCCAACCACCAACTCCTCTCGAAGTGCTTCTAGAGTCTGAGGAGGACGTTGCAAATATCTCCTACCCATCATATCCCACACGTGCCCAATTGGGGATAAGTCGGAAGATCTTGGTGGCCATGGTAACAATGTGACATCATTATGTTGAAAGAAGTCCTATTGTGACTCTTGCAACATGTGGTCGGACATTATCTTGTTGGAAAGTTGGATCGTCCAGGGTGTCAAGATAGGGTAAAAGATGGGGTTCTAGAACTTCGTGGATATAACGCTGCGCGTTCATGTTACCTCTGATGAAGATTAAAGGTGACCTGGAACCATAAGCTATAGCACCCCAAACCATAACTCCAACAGTGTGATGAACATGTCTTTCAACAAAAACTGTGGATTCCTCCTTTCACCACGTCGCCTTCTAACCCCGGCACGACCATCGTGCATGCCTAAACAAAATCGAGACTCGTCACTAAGGACAATACTGTTCCATTCCTGACCCCAGAGTGACCGTTGTCGCACCACTCAAGGCGATTACGTCGGGTTCTCGAGTTAAAGGGAGGACCCAGTGTGGCCGGTATGAAAACAAGCCAAAACTTCTCATTCGTCGGTAAACACTTCGCATGCCAATAGGTCTTCCGTGTTCTGCAAAACCATTTATTTGCAATGGACCTGGTAGTGGAGAAAACGGTCCTTAAGGCCAATAATCTTAGGCGGCGATCTTCACGGTCTGTTGTTCTACGGCGGCGTCCAGTGCCCTTGCTCTTTGCGTACGGCCTTCTCGAAGCCATGCCTGACAACACCTAACCACAGTGTCTACACTTCTTTGCACTCTAACTGCAATTGCCCGAAAAGAAGGTCCAGCTTCCCGAAGCCCCACTATACGGCCCCCTATCAAACTCACTAAGTTAACGAAATCTCTGTACTCTAGGCATCGTAACCGATCGTAAACGATGTCAAGAACCAAAATTCGCCAACGTTGATTCTTTACTGCGGCTGAAATATTCATTTTTAAGAGCGTTAGTGAATTAAAAAAAGCAGTAATAAAAACGGAATGTCCAACTGATAAGGCTGAAAAATTTTTCACTTGTTATTACAGTAAGATAAATACATTCACCAACTTTTATTAAAATAAAACCATTTAAACTGGGTGTGTTCGATTTATATGTCACTTAGTGAGTCTCCAGATAGTAATTCATGGTTATGGGGAATTTAAATAGTCTTTTTTAGTTTGAACTTACTTTATAATTTGACGTATGATGCACATTGCGTTTTTAAAGACACTCTTGTGTTATTATGTGTAATGCAAGCAACAAGGAGGCCTTAGGCTAAACATGGCAGTCTTTCTTGAGAGACGTGATTTAAAAACTAGTCATTTCTCATATTTGTTTATTGTTGTAGATTTATTTAGCATTAATGCTGCAAAATTAATGTTACACAGTACTACATCACATAATATTTTAACTCAAGTCTACAACTAAGTGACATATAAATCCGAACACCCAGTT